ACGATGAACTGCAACACTGACGTTGGTTTATGGGGCTGTAGCAGTCACTCCTTAGTGCTTCTGCACAGTTGCAGATCATCTTGTGAGCATTTTTTTTTTTCCTGAGCTTAACCAACAATTTTTATATATTTGGCCCTGAAATGATGGATGTATGTACAGAGCATAAATGACTTTTTAACATTTTACCCGGAAGAGGAGCCAGATTCTTGGCACTTTTCTGTCTTACGGAAAAAAGGAAACAATCTGTTTAAGACAACTGACCGCTGTTGTCAAAATTCACGTGTCATTGGGAATAGAAAATACAGGCTTTTACGGCTGCTTCAGTCTTATCTTTGTCTCCCCGGTCCTGCCTGCCCAGCCCCATGCTTATGGCAGACATCCAGCTGCTGTGTGGGTTTGTCATGTGGCCAGCCCCCCGAATTTATCTTTCTCATATGGCCAAATAACTTCATCCCCGTGGCAATTTGCTTGAATAAAGAGCCTGGGCGAATGCAGTCGAGCCTGGGGATACAGGATGAAAATCAGCGGTTGCTTCAGTGAGCAATTACGCAGTGAAAACAGCTATCAGCTAGAGAAGAGGTGGCCAGGCTTTCATAGCTGGGTGAAAAAAAAAATCAGTGGAATTCCCTATGTAATATACAGCTTTTGCAATATAGAGCACCTTTGGTTACGAATGCGTGCGGTATTTAAAATTGATATTAATTTTTACTGGAGGACAGTTTTGTACCGCTGCTGATTCAAAGCACCAACCTTGTGAAATGGCGTGCGTAGAAATGAGATTAGGAAGCTTTTCTTGATTCCCTCAGCCTGGTATTCTGACTTGTGCTGGGTCTTTAACCATGGTTGTAAATCGCTGACACACAGAATTTATTTAGCTTTATATTGATCAAAGCTGTATTTTTATCTGGAGCATTTTATAGTAGGAACCTGGCCGAACGTACGTAAGCGACTGGGTGGGTTTTTTATAGGTTGCATCAGAAGCACCGCTAAATGCAGGAATAATATTTCCCTTCTTACGTGAAATGTTGTACGTGTCTGAAAATGAGTCTGTGTGAATTGATAACAATCTTGCCCTGGAAAACTGGGAATAATGCAGCGATTTATAAATACAGAGTTTTAGAGAAAATAAAGCACATACTCTAAAATCCTCCCAAATTAAAGCTTCCACATGGTTTCACTGATTTGTTTTTATAAAATTGCCATGATATTTCATGAAAACAGTTTCCAGCTCCATCTGTCTGGCTGTAGAGAGTTATTTAGGTATTCGCTGGCATGTCTTTCGTATGGCTTTAGAGATGGGATTGGGGCTGCAAGTAAATGTCGTTCAGCTGTTGACTGCACGCCTTGCACTCGAGCATCTTGGTGCTTTGACGTGCCTGTTAGGACATAGCGGGAGCGATCACTCCGTCCTTCAGAGCCCTGGTCCAGGCTGCCAGTCTTTCTCTTTCGATGACCTCCCTTGGCAGGTACATGTGGGAGTTGAGAAATTCCCTCATTAAAAAGCTGCGTGTGTCGTAATACTGATGGGACTAGAACAAAGCTAGCTACCTCCCTTGGGACTAGTGCTGTGGTTTTTGAGCTCATTCTTTAAATTAAGAAGGTCGTTTCTTTGTTTTCAGTGTCATTAGCTTAGACAATGTCATGTGGCTCCATCATATATACAGATATTTAGAAAAATACAGTGGTATGTTGTAGGCATGGGAGACTTCGTGACTTCTTTGACAGGTAGCAGTAGTGCAGTATTCAGACTGGCTGCTTCTGTCCCGATGGCCCTGTGATGCTTTACAAACTCCAGAGATGTATTTTTTTAAAAAAAATTACTAGTGCGGTGCTGTTCGAGTCGCACCATCCCAAAAATCACTGCCCGTGCACTGCTTTCACTTGCCCGGCCTGGAGATGGGTCATGTTCGGGGTTCATCAAGCCAAAGGCAGAATCAGTCTATTTTTTGCCTCAATCTTATGGCTATGGCTGCAGTACAACCAGGACAAAGTCTTGGTTTCATACGCTGGCAGAAATCTGTATATTCTTCAGTGGTTAGTTTTGTTTGTGTAAATTCTTGATACTGAGGTAGGTTTTCTCAATCTCTGTCCCGTGTAGTATCTAATGTTATGATGTGCTTGTGATAAAGGCTCTTGAATAGTGTAGAAACATAAGGTGATGGGGATGCATCCTGCTTTGACCTCAAATTTGCATAAATTAATTCTTCTTGGGGAATGAGCTAAGTCTGCTGTTATGTTTCTGGATTTTTCAGATTTGATTTGAAATGCTTATTACAGGTTGGACATACAGGGCATTCTTTTAAACATTTTGGTTCTGGGGGTTATTAGATTTAACCTATTTATTGTGCAATACCTAAACCCAAACAGAAATAAATGAATGCATGAGGGTGTGCAAGGAACTAGTGCATATTCCAGATAACGAGCATACTCGGCTTTTAAGGGTAAAGAAGCCACTTGAATAGATTTAAATTGACTGTATGCTTCTTTGCTGCACTGCTCTTCCGCCGTGACAGACGGTGGTGAAGTGGTACAGCACGTCAAGATTTGAATTTAATTTTGGAAATAAAAATACGGCATCATTCTACCAAGCTCCAAGCACAGTGTTTTGGGAGAGGGCAAGAAACAGGTATACAGGCTGGTCGCTTAATGTGGATTTGTTAGGAAGAGAGCTGTTGAGTAACTCTATATTGTATTTATTAAATAAGGGATGCTTCTCAAACCTGCTCCCACAGACAAAACCTTTAGTGACCCTGAAGTGGCTCTCAAGAATAAACCTTGTAGTGCTCACACCTGTGGTCTGTGTATATACATTTTAGTACTACCTCTGTGGATTCTATATTATTTTTTTTTCCAATTCTTTACTTAAGCTTTTTATTTCACCTTTTCTGTACCTTCTTTATACCTCTGAGGACTGTTTGAAGCTGCAGTGAGACTTGAAAGGCATCCTGTTGGCAAGAGGGAATAATGAGTTGGCTTTTAAACGCGTTCAGTTCATGATATTTTATAATTAGTTGTGTGAACTTGCAGTGGTTAAAAAAAAGAAAATAGGAAATGGCAATTATGCAGAACTTTCACTCTTCAATCACATATATACTGCATTTCCATTGCTATTTACAGCTTTAAAGAGCCTCTCTGGAGGGCTGTATATTAAGTAATTCATCTTATTTAACACTTCGTTATGAAGTGTATACAATTAATTGACGATGTATAGAAATAACGATCTGGTTAATAGAAATTCAGTTCCTGAGAGCTGAGACAAGTTTCCTTTCAAAGTTTCACGCTTGGTTTTGATTATTCTTTTCAAGTTCACTAATGATATACATTTATCTGCCACTTGATCTTTGAAGGCAAAATTGAAATCCAGTTTGTGAGCAAGATAATGTAGATCTATATGTAACTCTTCTACTCTTTCTCTCCAGTTAAACCACTGGAAATGTGACAGTCTTAATTGTTGCATGTTTGGTGCTGCTAAGCTGTTCTTAATAGGGTAGGTTCATAAAGAAAAAGGAGAACAAAAAAAAAAACCCAAATAAATGAAAAATCAACACAAGAACAGCAGCAACAAAACCACAAACAAAACGCCTCTGTTCTGCTGTCTTTTATTAAACGTGAAATGCGTTTAAACGTGCTTAGATGGCGCATATAGCTGAACTGTCGAGGGGTGTTGATTTGAAACCTGCTGTCACGGTTGGGCTGGGGGAATGGTGGGTCTAAGCCAGTTTGTCGTTTCCCTAAGGCCAGCAATTTTTGCACAAATGTTTTGAGGATCAGCGTTAGCCTGTATGTGCTGGTTTATTTGCTCAGAGGGCTCGTTGGGAGAACAATTCAGAGCTGTTCACTCGCCTGTCGTGTGTTTGATTTCGATAGTACGACAAGTTTGGAAGTAGGCATAGTTGGGAAATAGGGTTCACACTGGAAATAATTCCAGTTTAAAAAAGGGAGGTGAAGAAAGAAGTTGTGTGTCGGTAGATCTGTTTTATCTTAGCGTGGCAAGTTCAGATGGGAGGCGGTTGGATGATACTAAGCGTGGAGGCCTTTGTGGCTTGCGGGGGGAGATAAGAGTGCTTTTGCTTCCAGGAAAGGAGCCTAAATGCAACCCAAATACTTAGGCAGGCCAAATTTCGCTAATCCTGGCTTAGGCTCGGTCACACCAGAAGCCCTAAATGTGATTTGTCGAACCGCAAAGGAAAGCAATCCCAATTCTGCTCTTGGGTCGGGCTTGAAGTCCCTGCGAGGCCGGCGGGGAGAGAAGGTCGTAGGGCAGCTGCACGCCCCGGTTGGGTCCCTTGGCTTCCCTGCCAGCTCTTCGGTCTTCACAACCGCTCCCTGTTCTCCCGGAAATAAGAGGATCAGGAATAGAACTGGGCTGCAGGCTGCGACTCCACTTTTTTTATCTAGATCTCCAAAACAGGTCTTTAATTCATCCCGCTAGGAAGTGGCACAACATTCTCTGTTAGTTTCGTGCATCTCTACAGAAGTACCATCATTGTAGTTTTTTGTCTAACATGTGTCTAGTATTTTCCCCTAACTGTGGTTTGTGGATATAGAAGTATCATTTTCATAACATTACATGTGTGCTGTAAGAACTGGGCTTCTCTTGAGGAAATGCTAATTCACACAAGAAATTTTAGTTCCGATCCACGATATTGTTTGTATGCAACTGTCCCATGTTTGCCTTCCGCAGAGATGCATTTCTCACCATTACATAAACCAAAGGGGACTCTTTTAACTGTATGTACCAAACCCCGGTACACCTAACGGGGGAGTTAGCGTTGGTAATGCAGTTGTTGGCTGTGTTGCACATTAGTCTCATTCTTAAAGTACATGACTTTACTTTTTAAAATAATTTCTGCGTATATGCGTATGAACTTATATTCACAGTAGTTCATTAATGTGCAAAAGATCTTAAGGACAACTTTTTTTTTTTCCACAAGCGAAGCCTTTTTCTATATTGTATTTTGTACCTTTTCTGTTCTGTAACGAGTTACTTTGTGTGACAGGTGGGAGATTCAAGAAGGAGATAGTGGTTGATGGACAAAGCTATCTGCTGCTGATTAGAGATGAAGGGGGCCCTCCAGAGGCACAGGTGAGCATTGCATATGGAGCTTGAGCTGCCTAACGCTTCCCTTGCTTTTAAAAAACCTTCTTTTAAGAGACCTGCCTTCGGTTCCCTCTTTCCTGGGTCCTTCTCATCTTTCTGCTGGGAAAATCTATCCGTCGCCTTCGAGCGAGATATATTCTGTTTAGAAAACATTTGGGATTTCAATTACGATGTGAAGCTGTGGAGTAAAGATATATGATTACCTTATATTGAATGCCTAATTAGCATGCTTCCACTGGATAGTCGTAAGTTTTCTTCTGAGTTAGAATCTCCAAGTTGTTAAAATACAAGGTGGAGGTATGCGCAGTGACACATTTATTTCCGTACAAATTTTTGCATTCCCTATTGCTTCCACGTTTTGCTCCCTGTGCCGTGTGAGACTCGACTTGGCGAGTGCCAGTTCAGCACCGGCGTGTTGTCAGATTTCTGACGTGCTTTCCGTGTACGGCAATTTACCTCCTTGTCCTACAGAAGGTGACTCATGGGGATTTGCCTTCGAGAAGACATTTGTGGTTCCTCTCGAGTGATGTGCAGTGAGGCTTAAATCACTCTGCCAGCGGGCAGCATCCTTGGAGCATCCTCCTCGTCCCCCCTCTAGCTCTTCTTACCTGGGCACTCGTGGGGTTTCTCAAGCGTGTTGGCTGCCATTGGCCTTGCTTTGCTCAGCTGTTTGGTGGTGGATCAGCTTCCAAAAAAACCCCAAAAAACCAAACCCCACTAAAATAGAATTTAAATCTAGCAGCAGGAGCTGTGCTATCGCCAAACAGCTGAACGGGAGCGGTGCCAGCAGGAGCAGCTTGTGTTTCAGTGCTCCGCTATTGCTCGTTAGCTGCAGGAGGATGAGAGCGTGGGGGAAGGTGCCCGGACAAAGGAGGAGAGAAAGGAGGTGGAGGAAACGGAGACGGAGACACACATCCTGGAAGGAAGTTAAAATAAAAACAAAAAAATTAGTGTTGCTGACACATCTGCAGCCGTGTGAGGCAGGAACCTAAAAGCATGCTCTGTTCGAGGCTGTGAATAATTTGGCTGAAGCAGACAGCAGTTTTCAGGCCCTGATGCTCAGAGAACATTCACTCACATAAAAACGTAAATACCGGAGTTGTAAAGGTACACACAGCAATCTGGATGTTTTTCTACCCGAAGAATTGGTTTTGCAGAGTTCGTTTGAGCTAACTGCGAGCTAACTGCAAACTAACGAACAGGCACCGCGTTTTGCTTTTGATCTCTGCTAGGTAAATTGGGCGGGTTTAATTACTGTTGTGGCTGAGAATTCTTCTTCAGCAAAGCACGGGGATGGCAAGGTTTAAGGTGTTATTTTACCTTTCAGAAGACGTGTCACGTGTAAATTCTCTTTGGATTTTTTGGGTATAATTTCAAGTCACACGTCTATTAAAGATCTTTAATCTGTTTATCAATTCCCGGAATAAAAAGTTTACTTCTGGGCTTATGAATATTTAAAACTGTAGAATGAAAATGGAGTGCTATCGGAAGAAAGATGTTTATGTCCCACTATTTGCTTATAATATAGAAAGAGTTGGTTAATTTAGCTTTAAGGTTCTGCTTTTTGCAACGGTAGGGTATATTTCTGTGGGTAATTGGGACAGAATTACAGCTTCACTAAATAACCAGCTGAACTGCGGTCTCCGTGGCACTGGGTCGGGGAGAAGTGCCCAGGGGACGATGGCTTCTTTGCTCCCGTGCAAAGGCTGCAGCTCAGGCTTCAGTTTACGGTCCCCTTCTTTTTGGCAGGAAGGGAGGGAAAACCAGTGCACCTGAAGGCTTGCTTTCTGGATCTGCGTGTTCTCTCTCTCTGGTCTAACATAAGATTGTTCAAAGATGAAAATAATTCAAAAAAAGAAAAAAAGCCCATTTCATAGAACGAGGTGGTGGTGAGGTGCATTAGCTGCTGCTTCGGTTTGTGAATATTCACCATTGGCTTTTGCTCACCAGGCTTGATTTTACTCTTGCTGTGATCTATTACAAATGTAATAGTCACCTATTGTTAAAACCCGACTAACATAGCATCTGAGCTATTACGAGCCATCACTTGTGCTTTTTTTTTTAAATTTAGAACTTTTTTTTAATAATTTGGTTTTGTTTGGGCTTATCCTGAACTAACAGATCTGCTCAATCACAGTAGTAAGTCTGAAGATGGATTTGTCTATCAGCAGCTGAGCGATCCTTCTTATTTCGAGCCATTCCCCGCACACTGCTGTGGATAAGGCATCCTGGCTTTCCAGACTTTGTGCATGCTTAAACTGATTGTAATATGAAAAAAGAAATAAGGAATTACTGGAAATATTTTGTGTCTGGAGGAACTGCATTGAACAACCACCCTCTGGATTTTTTTTAAATAATCTTCATTAGAAGGCTGCTGCTACACACTGATGAAACATTAAGAAAATTTAGAGAGACGGTTAGCTTCCAAACTGATGCTGTAAGGGCATCGTAGCCGTAAGGAAGCATTCCTGGCATGATGTTGCCGAGTCCGGTCAGCAAGAACTGTTTTATACGAAGACCCAAACCCAAGTCTGCAGCAATGACGCTGTCTCTGGTTCCTTTGGTTAGAGCTTCTGGTTTGAATATTTCAAATATAACAGTGTGGTAGTTGACCTTATTCCGGCAGTAACTGTGCTGTGTGTAGGTAGTTCTGTCCCTAACATCTAGATGACTCTCCTCCTGACTGTCTTGAAAACCTCAAAACATTTTCGGCTGGTTTTACTCTGTAACCATAAGAGACGCGTTTGGTTTCAAGTTCAATACAGTCATGAATATGCACATTAACTTAAATTATTCGCTAATATGCTGTATGAAAAATAGGCAAGAAGTACTACTAGCTTCTGCTTCTGAAAAAGGAAAATTGAATGAGGTCAGCAACTTCAGTGTGTAACCTCATACTGCCGGCTCTTTTTTTTTTCTTCCCTCTGCACATGCCGGCTTGGGATGCCTTGCTAAAAGCTGAGATGGTCTGAAGCTCCAAACCAGCGATTGAAGCAGTTTTAAATACTGCAGGAGCAGAAACAAAACTAAAGGAGTTGGTAGGGCTGAAGTGAGCGCTTACAAACCTAGGGTAGTCTTCTAAAACTCAGCAAAACGTATATAAGCGTTTCCCAAATGAACCTTCTTGCAGCTCTGTGTACGTTCAGTGTGTCCCCAATCTGCCTGGCGTATTGTAGTAGTAATATAGCGACGAGCATGAACACTGGTGGCTGAAACTTGTTTCCATTGGTCTAAATTTGGGTAGGAATGGAGTCACTTAGGAAAAAATAAAGGCAGTGAGGTAAGCTTAACTTCAGTCTTTTTTTTTTTTTTTGATGTCCTGTGTACGTTTACTCAAGTCAAACGTGTTTAAACAATCTTATTTCACTTGCGAGCTAAAACTTTTTCACTTGCATGGTCACTTGAGCAGCACCTTGCCTCAGCCTGCGTATATGCATGTCTTGTAGCAGATTTCTGATGTGAGAGAGAACAGCTTGCGTTCACACCGAAAGCTGAACAAGACATTTGGTACTGTTTGCTTGGTTACAGTGTCTGTATAGTGACAAATGGGAAATTTGAACTGCGATGGTTTTGGACATTAAGATGTGAGAATTACTAGCGATGCTTCTAAAACCACAACCGTAATACTTGCCCTGGCATTAGCAGCCACGTCAGCACGCGTGCATGCTTGTGAAGCACAGGGTGGGGAAATGACACGCGAAATGGGGCACTCGAGTGCCTAGAGATACGGGGTTTTCATTTATAATTCACAAATGCAGGAATCTGGGGCGGTGATGTTGTCTTTTTCTCTGTGAATCAAAACCAGTGTGCACTGCTAGTAGTTGGGCTTGTAATATCGTGTACCGGTGAAGAAGAGACGCGGTTGTGAGCGTGGGGAAAAACCTTTGTGTGCCCCAGATCCCCATCACTTGCAGAGTGATGAGTGGTGATCCATCATTTTAGTAACGATACGCCTCTTTTAAGGCCTTGGTTATCATCACTACCAAAGTTTGTCTGATGTGTATTTCCCTCCAAGCAAGGTAAGAATGTTTTTCTCTTTTTTTTTTTTTTTTTCCTCTTCACTGTTTTTCTCACACTGTGCCTTTTCCATTTCTGTTCCGCAGTTTGCCATGTGGGTGGATGCTGTTATATTTGTCTTCAGCTTGGAAGATGAAATTAGCTTCCAGACTGTTTACCACTACTACAGCCGTATGGCTAACTATCGTAACACTAGTGAAATTCCAATGGTACTAGTGGGAACCCAGGGTAAGTGCAATCTTGATTTCCGAGTGGATTTCTGTGACCATATCGATCAGCAGGGAGATGCTAATGTTGAATTTTGGGCAGGTGAATCAGTTGTGTAACAAAGTTCTGAAGTCAGACTGGTTTCCTTTAGCTTGGCGGTCTACGCTGGCATTCCCAAGAGGCAGACGGATCGGAGATCGAAATCCTCCAGCAGTGTGTTAAGAAGCAGAACTGAACCGTGCCCCTGTGCAGACTCTGGGGTCGGCCGCTGCTCAGTCAGATAGAAATGCAGCTTTTTGCCACCTGAAACACATACACGCACCCCAAATTCTGTTTTTCCAAAACCTCTTCTGGAGGTTACTGCGCTGCGTTACAGGGATAACACAAGGGTCGCACGTTGCTCTTGTAGATTTGATTTTGGGCATGTTTTTAGCGTATGCCACTGGTTTTGGTGATGTTGAAGCTTTTCACTGGTTTTCCAGCTTTTTTTTTTTTTTTGTCAGTCTTATGGTCAGAGAGCAATTTGCTTTGCAGAGCTGCGCTGCCAGCGCTGCCACGTGAAGGCAGGGGAAGCGTGGGCAGCATGGAAGGAGGAATCGCAACCGGGCTGTAGGGCGGAAACAGATGATAAAAATGAAAAGGGAAGTAGGTACACAAAAAGTCCTAGGGTAGCAGAAACTACAGCCAAAAAGCAGAAATGAACTGCGTTGAAGGAGAAGGGAAACGTTTCCCTGAGCTGCTTTTCTTTCTGTAGTTCTGACACGGAGTACAGTTTTCAATCTCATTCCAGTTATTACCAGAAAGGAATTTTGTTTTTCAAAGTTCATTTTGTGTTGCAGCACTGATGCAAAGGGGATTTTTTTTAAAACTGTGACTGACTAAAGATGGAAATACTGCTTGTTCTCGGAGGAAGCATCAGAAAAAAAATACAACTTTTCAACTACAATGACTGTCAGTGCGGTGAAATGAAATATATAAATATATCTGTTAAAAATACATTTGAAATATACCCGTGTGACATCTAGCGTGTTGGTTTTGACTGGGTATTCTCGAAATGAGCTGTGAAATGAAATCTCTCCCAAAAGGTTAGTTAGCACGTGCCTGATGCTTCCTCTGCCCCGTCGTTCTGCTGTGGGCCAGGCTGTAGCACGGAATTTGCTTCAGAAACCAAATTTTTTGAAGCCGTGGTATTGCTTATCGATTGCTTTCTGGTTAAATGTTTTCAGCGCCCTCTGCTGATTACAAAAAAATAAAATCAAATCTGCCTTTGGCTTTCCAAATAACCACTCCATTTTTATCAATTAGCTCTCGTGAGGAGGTAGCGATAACGTCAGTTGATGCGCAGTTGTGTCACGCCCAGAACTGAGCCTCAAATACAGCATCGTAACAGTCACTGACGTTGTGATCACGTTAAAGCAATGCTTTTTTTTCCCCGAAGAATTAAGGTAGTTTTGCTGCCATGGCAAGTAGCAGATTTTTAGGCAAACTTTCCAAGCAGCTCGAACTGCTGAAATTGATGCCTGTCGTGGTGGCGAGGTGGTAGCTGCAGAATTTTGTAGAACAGGTTGTTGTTGCCATCTCACCTTACGATTTTTTTTTTTGCTAGAGCTCATCGATTTCCATGATACTCCTGTTAAAAATAGGTTGGTTTTTAAGATTTCCTCGTAGTATTCTCACTTTTTATAAAGAGTCCAGTGCTATAACTTTTGTAGAGTTCTTCACTATGATGGAGTAGCAATGAAGAAACATCTCCTTCATTGGTTAGGGGCATTTTTTTAAAATTTTTTCCCCCCTCCCTCTGGCGTAAAGGGTTTTTTTGGTGGATGAGCTCTAGAAATGGGAGTTAAAAAGCATGCATGGAAAGCAGCTCTTGCAGAGAGATATGACGTATTATTATTTGTTTAGAAAACTATTATTTTTATTGGCTGTGTAGTGTGTTCACACAATGTCTCATGGATGCCTTTAAATCAAGGTTAGAGACTCAGTCCTGTTTACCATGAGTTTCCCGGATCCAGTCTTGGCTGTGACTTAAAGGTCAGGTCAGCAATGCAACCTGTGAACATATGAAAAACTCTCAGGTTAAAGTGGCAAGTGTCTGCCTTGACCGAGACATAGGGTCTGCCATGGGTTTGGGCTGGGGTTGAGCAGAGAGCTTCGCTTCCAGCCCGGCCTCGCTAGCACGTTGCGTGCCTAAGCAAAATGCAGAGAGAACTAGCCTAGAAAACGGGAAGAACCCAAAAAAGCACATGTGAGGAACTGAGGGGAGGGCTAGACTCTGGATTTTTAATTTTTTTAGCAACGGTGATAACTGCAGTCCCGCACAGCTTTGTTATTTCTTATCTGCCATCATGATTTGATTTTTTTTTTTAACCCAGGTGTCTAGTGTTGGCTAGGTTGGTTTGGTTTTTAGGAAGAGCATCTCTGAGGTATAAATCTAACGCTTTCCCCAAGTGTTGCAGTAGTACCTGGTACCATTTCTCCCCCCGTCCCATTGTTTCTCTACTGAAAATGTTTCTCGTCCTTACAAACATGTCAGGTTTCGTGCTTCACGCTCTACAGGTGGAGGTTTGTAAGTCAGTGCTGATATTTATACGAGGCCTAAAATCATTTGATGTGTTCATCAACAAGCCACTTGTTCTTCTAAGTATGTTTTACATCAGAGCTCATGTTCTTTCATGTGATTCTGTATTTTTTGCAGCTAGTGACCTAAATCTGTTTTAAGGTAGCCAAAAAGCATCTTGGGTTTTCCTGGTTTTCAGAATCAATCCGCGTGCTGGTGGTATTAGCAACAACGTCTAAAATTGGAGCGATGCACACCCCTGTTGTTTTCTAAAAATTCTAAAAGTCTCATGGTTTGTACTTAAATTCACTGCTTGGGTACGGATAATTAATTGTAAGACGATGCTTTCAAATTATATTTAAATGCATTTTTTCCCCCCTGTTGTTGCTGTAGATGCTATAAGTTCCAGTAATCCACGTGTCATAGACGATGCCAGAGCGAGGAAGTTATCAAATGATCTCAAGAGATGCACTTACTACGAGACGTGTGCTACTTACGGACTCAACGTGGAGAGAGTCTTCCAAGACGGTAAAGATTACTTTTTTCATCCGGCATATCCCACAATACTATATAGCTGTTGGGTTTTTTTAAATAACCACCGATGTCTGGTTGCTCAGGTACTTGGCCTTTTTTTGCAAGCGTTCGTTAACGTTCAGTTTAAGAAAATGCTCGTTTTTAGGGATTTATTTTGTTACACTGTCTTATGTGAAGTAGAGGCTTCATTACGCTGAACCTGGCACGTGCGAGGTGGTGTGTTCTCTACCAGCACCTTCAGTCTTAAGCATCTTAACGTACTTTTAGTCTTTGTTGATTTTTTTTTTCTGTTTTCTTTGGTGCTTGCTTTATTTTGGCAAAGTTTTCTTTGTTTTGATTTAGTGCTCGTGGAGACATTGAGAGGCTGTTTGTGCAAAGTAGTTGAAAATTGCCTTCCATGTTTGAGAAAGTGAGAATAAATTGAAAAAATTGAGAGGACTAGGGTAATCGTGAGAAGTAACTCATTATTGAGCATTAGAAGTTGACAGTCACGCGTGGGGTTTAGAAGTCAAGTCGCCTGCTTAATGGTGATTTAAAACATCGTTAGCAGCAACGTTCTGGTTTGCCTTGTAGGAGGTACTTGGGTACCGTCACAAAACAGAATAACAAAAGTTCTTTCTGACCATCTGTAACTATTTTGGAACAGTTACGCCTTGGAAGAACTTCTGTGGCTGGAGAAGCGATGCTGAACTTGGTCTTTGCTGTATGAGATGGACTCTGTGCACCCTCTAGTGGAAATTCAACCGGGTGTCTTGGGGCTTTGCCGTCTTCTCGTTCAACCGGGGTTGTCTGGTGGCTGAACGTGTCGGCCCTTTGTCCCAGCACCACTTCTGCCTGTAAAAATCTTCTTAATTACGTTGAAATATGTCTCGGAGCTCCTTAGTTCTGCGGGGTTTTGTGTTGCCAGCTTTTCGTTGGAAAGACTTGCACCATCTGGGGTTATGTGAGACAGCGTCACATCAGTACGTAGCAGCAATGTGTGCAGAGTGTGCTAAAATTAAAAAAAAAAAAAAAGGAAAACATTCTGGTTTTTTAAATGGGAAAAAACCCAAAACATGGAGATTTTTAAAGGGAAAATACTGACCTGCGTTGTACTAGGTGTAGTTCTAATTAAGGGTGGTTTTACCCATCCTGTTGGTAGGATTCCAGAGAGGAGCATTTGAAGCTGTATCTTTGTGTTTTGCTCACGGTTTTCACTTGAGCTAGTTGCCAAAATGACTTTTCACTGCCTACATTTCTATTTTGAATGAGAGTTTCAAAGAACCATTAGGGTTTCTTGTTAGTACATTGATTTTTGAGTGCTAGCTATAGTTAGATTTTTTTTTTAATTACATATTCTGAGTTGTGGTGTTTGTGGATCTTTGTACAGTCTACTTTGTTTGTTTGTTTTGGTTTTTCTTTCTCGGGGATCTTTGGCGCCAGAAGTTTCTTGCAAAAAGCTGTGTGAGAAACGTGTAAGCTTCCTGCGAGGTTATTTGTGTCTCTGCTAAATTTCGGTAATAAGTAGAAAGAACTGACAAACACCATGTGTTTTAAGAAATACCAAGGTTTTGTTTTACCTACCTGGCAGTCAACCAGCTATTTAATATTTGCCGACTAACAGGATTAGGAATGCTTCCGTATAAATGTCTTACAGTTGCCAGACGTGTCTGGGACCAAATCCAATTTCTGATAATTTTTGCTGTTTATTTCGGCAGGAACCAAAGCGGCTTTTTAACCCCACGAAAGGAGGGGAGCAATCGAACAGTGCAAGTTAGGGAGCGCTTGATTGAACCACTTGGTTTGTGCACGTTAACAACGGGTTTTAGCGGCTTCTTCAGAGGGACCGTATAGTCTGCGTGCAGACCTGTGAAAGGCAAGGCGTAGAAGTGTAGAAGCTTGAAGAAAACTTTTAAATGATCTTTTACTCTCGAAAGAGGATGTGAAATATCGTTGTTCCAGCAGGCTGACTCACTGGGAGATGGGTGGTGTGGAGGGAACGGCCGTCACTTGGCACCGTTGCTTTAATGACCATTAATGATGTGAAAGCCTTTGACTAAGGACAAGAACTTGGAGTTTTTGGCAAAAAAAAAAAAAAAAAAAAAAGGTTACTTCTGCAGTGAAATGGTGTTTGATAGGAAATAAAAGCTAGCTGAAGAAATGTACGCTAGTTTTACACACGCGCTCCAATTTTGTTCCAAGTTCTTTGTGTGTTGACAGGCTGTGGTGGGTTGACCCTGGCTGAGG